CAGCCACGACACGAAGCGCCGTGCAATACCGTGGATCGCATCGCGAGACCGGACGCACGCCATCCCATCGTGTCGCTGGCTCGTGCCATCCCCCCTTCAATATGCGCGCGCACCATTCGGGGGCGCGCAAACATCCAGTCCAGGTGGCGGCGATTCATCTTAAGGAGGCATGCTTCGGGCCTCGGGAGTGGCCAAAACGTTCCAAAACGTTCCTCTTCTTCCTCCTCCTCCTCCTCCTCCTCCTTCTCCTCCTCTCGAGGGGGCGCAAGCATGGATTAGCGATCCATGGATTTGGCGCGCGGTCGCCAGATCCATGGATCGGGGGAAGTGCCCTCCCCAAAATGCGGCCGGTGCTGCCTCGTTCGGTGGCGGAAATCCGAGATTTCCCGTGGAAACGGGGCCCGTCGCTAATACACGCCTCCTTGATCCATGTTTGCGATCGCCTGAACCATGGTTCCGAAAGGTCATCGCTGCGCGCCCCCTGCACCACAGCAGCCCAAGCCACCAGGCAAGGGCCTCCAAAAGGAGGCCTCAGCAGACCGCAGTCGCCGCACTCCAAAGCAGTGGTGGCGTCGACAGAGCATTCGCTGCATACAACGAACTCGCTCACAATCATCAAACCAATCCCACTACCATCTACGAGCAACGCCGCTCCGAACCACGTACGCTCAGGGGCGAGCTAAAGAGGTTGCGCGGGAAAAACGAAATCAGCTACAGCACGCTGCTCTACTCCCTCGTGCACGAAACGACAGTAGGCCGTGGCCCACCACCAGGGGGGACCACTCGCTTCGCACGTTAGCTAGAGGAAGGCGACCGCTTACTACAGCAGATACGCACACATGAGAAACGTCTGGCGCTCCGTCGCAATGCTGGGGTCCATTAACGCGGACTACCCAGGCAAAGAAAGCCGAATCCCAATGTTACGTCGCACGGCCAAGGCTACGAAGCCTACGCCAGGACAATTGCGCTCTTTCTCTCTCTCTCTCTATATTTCTCTCTCTCTCTCTCTATTCCCTTTCCTTCCTCTCCCACTCACCCTCCCACCCAAGCCCGCGAAACACCCGAGACGATCCCCGAGGCCCCAAAAAGGCCCTCAAAATGGCCCCACGCGTGGCCCAAACGGGGTCACCTCACCTCTACTCTCCCTCCATCCCTCACCCCCCTTCCTTTCGCCATCCCATCCTTCGGCCCGCACCGCACCTCACCCCACCACCTTGTACTTCACCTGCCCCACTCCCAATCATACTTGCTCTCTCCCCTCCGCCCCAATCTGTCTCTCTATCTCTCTCTTTATCTCTCTCTCTCTCTTTCTCTCTCTCTCTCTCTATATATATGTATATATCTATACATATATATATATATATGTGTGTTCCTTATTTGTTTATCTCTCTCTCTTTCCCTCTCTTCTCTCTCTCTCTCTCTCTGTATATAAGTATACATCACCCCACCCCCCTGCCCCGAGGCGCCACCTGCGGGAGGTTCTGTGGCCACCATACACCCTGCGGCCCTTGCGGACCAGGCGCAACAAGCGTGCCCGGTGGTGGCGCCAGGCACGGCCTCAGCCGACAGCGGAAGCGAGGAGCAGCAGGGCCCAAACAAGAAAACAAACTGCAGAGATACCAACACGATGTACTCTGAAAGATACGGGGGTGGAGAGGATGGGGAGGATGACGAGGAGAAGGGCGACGACGAAGACGAGAGGAGCATGGTAGTGCAGAGGAGGAAGGAAAGGGGCGAAGAAGCGCGAGAGCAAGGGCATTAATGGGGAAAAGGAGCAATGAGGATGGGGAGGAGGAGGGCTTGCGTGCCGAGGGGCTTCGCAAACGCGCACTCCTGTCGTCCCGCCTTGGTGCGAGCCAATGACGCACGTGCCCAAAGAAGAGCGCAGTCTACCGTCACAAGATGTTAGGCTGGACAACGACTGAAAAGGAAGATCGGCCTCCCATCCAAGAACCCCAGCAGGGACGAGGGAGGACAGAGGGAACAGAGAGCAGGTAGCAGGGAGATGGGGTGCGTGTCTACCACTGCACGGGGAGGTCTCTGGCAAAGCGGACCTGCACTGATGGAGCATAATGCAAAAAACACTCGGGCACCACATGCAACGAAGTTAAACCTCGAAGTGAAATTAAAAACAAACCGAGGTCACATAAAAGTGTCAGTGCCTCCGAACGGGGCGGGAGGAGAGGGGGGGAGGAGGTAGAGAGGGGGGAGGGGAAGTGACGCGCGCTCGCGCCATATCTGACATCCTACCCCTCATACCAATCCCTTCCCAATCCTAGGCGACCTTGATCCTCATAGTGACTCCGTCGTGTTATGTGCGATCAGTTTGCGCCCTTCTACAGTCGGCTGCCCTGCTACAGACGGCCAACGACCCGCTCGGATTGCTAGCATGATTTGCGGGCCACTCACATAATCGGCCCCTGCTCGAGACATCCTCACGAGTTGCGCCATTGGAGTGCCCAATGCTACGCCTGCTACAAAAAGCCAATGACCCGCTCGGATTACTAACATGATCTGCGGGACCCATAGGGAAGGGGCTCCCGCCTGAGATTTCCTGACAAGTCAGTCCGAAACGAGGCTGCCGCTCTAGACATCCTCAGGGTTTGCCACATTGGGGTGCTCAAGTGGCAAGACTGCTATAGTAGGCCAATGACAGCTCGGATTGCTAACATGATCTGCGGGCCCCATGGGCAGGGGGCTCCCGCCTAAGACTTCCTCGCAATTCACTCCCAAACGAGGCCCCCGCCCAAGACATCCTCACGATTTGCGCCCTCGGGGCGCACAAAGGCTATGCCTGGTAGAAGATCCCGATGACCCGCTCGCATAACCAACATGAAATGCGGGCCCCATATACGCAGAAGGCATCTATACACCACCACCGTGCCAAGCCAGGGCCGTCCTGGCCCTGGCATGGCCGAAGCCAGGAGGGTCTGTACACCATCCTAGGGCCCAGGATGGCCCTGGCCTGGCACGGTGGTGGTGTGTAGACGCCTTCGTCGGACTTTAGGGAGGGGGCCTCGGGCTGGGGCCCCGTGGAGGCGACGCGGTGGCAGCGGCCCACGGCGGCAGGCAACGACGGGTGGGCGCCGTCGGCGGCGGGGTGCCTGCGCTTCGACCGCTCCACGGAGCGCCGAGGCGCGCTGGACGACGCGGTGGCGGCCAGCCGCGGAGCCAGCCGCGGAGGCGGGCGACGCGCCACGGGGCGGGCGGTGGCCTTCAGTGGGCAAGCGCGTTCCGCTGCTCGCAAAGTCACTGCTCGCAAATGGCCTGGATCCGCCGCGGGGAGGTTGCGATCGATTACGTCGAGTCGAACGTTGGTTTCTCGGACGATTGCGAGTAGGCACTTTACCAGTAGTGGAACGCGCTCGGCGATTCAAGGAGGAGCGGACTTCTTCCCCATCACTCGAAAGTCTGTGCTGGTGGGGCCAGGAGGAGGGTGCAGTGGAACTAGCAGCCGACGGCCTCGCGCCGAGAGGCGCGGTCAGAGGACGACGGGCACCTCCCAGGAGGGGGGAGGAGGGAGCCATGAGCCGCGTCGAGAAGGGGGGCGCGATGCCGGAGTGGGGGCTCAGCCTGGCAGTCGCGTCGGGCGGTCGCTGGCCGCGCGAGCGGCGCCAGCGGGCAGGCTGCGCGCTGAGCGACGGCCTCTGCAAGCGCGGCGGGCGGGCCCCGGAGGACCTGCTCCACAGGACTTCCACGCGCGCCGGCCGCGCGGGTGACGCGGCCTTCCTGAAGACGGACGCGCTCCTGCCGATCGGGGAGACGTAAGACCCGGGTACGGGGGACTCGGAAATCCCCGACGAGGTCGTCAAAAAAATGACGAGGCCGAGCCTGCATTTTGACGAGGCCTCCCGCTGCAGACATCCCACGAAACTCCTCCTCGTCAAAATCCGAGTCGCGGTCGTCAAAAAACGATGGCGAACCCGAGTCCCGGCAAACCCGGGTCTTACGCTCCCCCGAGCCGAGGGCGCTGGCTGGCTGCGAGGCTCATGAGGCGGAGCCTTCGCCATGGCTGCGGGGCGAGGCGCCAGCCCACTCACGACGCCGACCTTCGACGAGGAGAGGGTGGCGCAGGCGGCGGTGGTCATCGGCGGGTCGCTCGACCAATATCGCGACTCTTGGTAGTCCCCAAACGTGGTGGTGACAACACCTGGCGGTGAGTCTCGGGCGATTTGGTGTCACCACCCGGTTTGGGGACTCGTGCGGTTTTCCGAGGATGTCCCGGACACTGGTGGGTCCAGGAGTCACAAAACCCGGTGGTGACCCCGCGTCCCCAAACCCAGCGGTGACCTTTTTGGGGCCACCTGGTATCTCACCACCCGGTTTGGGGGTTCCCAAGACTCCACGGGCGTGGTCACCGTCTTTGGCGACGGCACCTGCGGGCCCTATTCCGCCCACCCGGAAGGAGAAGGCGCGGCGCTGCGATCGCGGCCCTCGCCCCAGGGGCCGACGGTGAGTGGTGGGCCGTTGCTGGACGCTCACCCGTCGGCTCGCGGCAGACAGTGCCGCAGGCTGAGGCTTCAAGTCACACAATCGTCGCCTGTCCTGCCCCGCCGCCCCGGCCAAAAGCCAGAGGGAGGGGGGGGTCCGTCAGCGTGGCAGTGCGGGCCGCCGCAACTCTTATTCGGACCACAGGGCGGAACGACAAAGAAAAGCGGGCCAAGAAAGGAACAGGAACGGGCTGAGGCTTAGCTTTCGTGCTGGCGCGTGCGCTTCGTGAGTGATCACGGGCCGTTGCAGCTTGCCTGGAGGGCTCCTTCGTCAACCCCCTGCGACCGCAGCCTCGCTAACGACGGTCGGTGGCAGCGGACGCAGGTGGCGGTGGCAGCTCGGGGAGCGGAGGGGATGCAGGTCGAAAGGGTGGCGTCGCATGCTGACGAGCATGCCCATCTTCTCGCCTCCTCGCGCGCCCGTTTTCGGGGTCTCGGCAGTGGTGCAGCAGATGCGTAGGCTGGGCAGGCGGCTGAGGCAGGCTGGCAGGCAGGCTCGGTGGGCCCTGA